TGGAGCTCCCTCTGGGGCCATGAATCGGGCGAGCGGTGCGCAGAAAGGCTTAAGTCGGGCGTGTCCCCCTACAGGAGGATTTTGTGCGAAAAACAACAAGTACTCAAAACATGTACAACAAATGCTCAAAAATCGTCAGAAAATCGTCCCCAGGCTATTTTGTGGACTATTTTCGGATATTCCCCCTGTAGAGGGACACGCCCGACTCAAAGAAAGGCATCCGGACCCCGGCGCTGGGGCCCGAGGTGTGGAGCCGGGCAAGCGGGCCCAGGGCACTGTGGCCGATAGGCGGAGCTCCATCGGCAGCCACCAATGGCGTGAGGGGTGCACCAAAGTGGCCTGGAGAAGGTGCCCATCGGTCGGAAGAAGTAGGTAGAAACATAAAGTAGGAAGGCGTTGGAAATAGATTGGGTTTCCGCCCGCCCCCTGAAGAGGAAGGAAGAGGGAAAACCACTCGACTCTTGAAGTAGGAAGGCGCTGAAAGTAGATTGGAATCTGGGAATCCAAAAATACCTACTTTCAACGACCGATGGGTACAGTCGGACTTGATTGGAGAGGACACGCGAGAGGTTACAAGACTCTTCCGAGGACCACGTTGCCACAGGAGTGTAAGAAGGCACGTGTCGCGAGGCACAGGACACAAGGGTACCCTTGAGCTGGCAGGGTCGACCTACTAATCCGGGCAGACTGTATGGAGAGCCTGTTGTTGGGCTTCCTGTGGGGCAGCGAGACGTGCGAGAGGTGCGCCGAAACGGTGGAGAGAAGGCACGCGGGCCCTGGCACTGAAACCATGGGTGGAGCTTCTTCTGGGGCCACAAACCGTGTGAGGATAGTGGAAGCAGTGATGATGATGCTGATGCTGATGATGATGATGATGATGCTGATGATGCTGATGCTGATGATACTGATATCGATGTTGATGATGATAATGATGATGATGATGATGATGATGATGATGATGATAATGGAGGTGGTGATGATGCCGATGCTATGAGTAACGATGATGATGATCATGAGGATGTTGATGATGATGATGATGATGGTAGTAATGCTGACAGCAATGACGATGACAGCGACGAACAGGGTGATGATTATGATGATGATGATAATGATGATGATGATGATGATGATGATGATGACGATGGTGATGATGCGAATGATGATCATGGTGATGATGGTGATGATGATGGTGGTGATGATGATGCGGGTGGTGCTGGTGATGGTGATGATGATGCTGATACTGGTGATGGTCATGGCAGTGATGTTGAAGGATGATGAGTGTGATGCTGATGATGACGCTGATGATGGTACTGATGCGATGATGGTGATGCTGGCGTCGATGCTGACTAAAGTGGTAGCGACTGTGCTGATGCGAATGATGATTGTGTTGGTAAGGATGCTGGTGATGGTGATGTGTTTGATGATGATGGTGATGATGACAGTGGCGATGCTCACGATGAGAAAGACGACGGTGACGATGACGACGATGATGAATATTCGGTCGGTGCAGCGGATGTTGGTGACGCTGGTAATAACGCTGATGATGATGCTATGCTGATGATGATAGTGATACTGATGGTGATGATGATGCTGATGATGATGCTGATGATGATGATGATGATGATGATGATGATGGCAACGATGGCGACGATGGTGAGACAATTGGCGCTGATGATGATGCTGATGACGATACTGATGGTGATGACTATGAAAACAATGCTGAGGATGATGACGATGATGACGCTGGCAATGGTGATGATGCCCTGGATTCTGATAAGGATGATAGTGTTGACGTTTCTTTCCGCCACAGCATCTCAATTTTTCTACGATGGCTCTGTTAACTCGCGCGTGCCGTCCGCATCACGAGCCAAATGACAAGAGATGACGAAGCAGAAGAAGTGACTCGCCGCAAGATGCCTGCACCCCCTCAAGCGGGCAGACCCCGTCTCCCCCGACAGGACAGCAGGAGCACAAACACTCGTCACAGACCCAGTGCCTGGATTTTTTTTTCCGCCACTGCTTAGGAGAACACTCTTCCAACAGAGCGTGGATCTTTTCCCGCCGAGTTTGTCGCAATATCGATGATGGGTCTTGGGTTTGCGATTCTCTTGCGTCGCCTCCTCCGCCTCCTCCTCCGCCTCCTCCTCCTCCTCCTCCTCCTCCTCCTCCTCCTCCTCCCCTTCTCCTCCTCCTCCTCCTCCTCCTCCTCCACCTCCTCCTCCTCCTGGCTCTTTTCCCGCCGAGGAGGGGAAAGACGAAGAGGCCGAGGGGGGAGTGGGCAGCGTGGTTGCCAGAAGCGACGTTCACGCACATGAGCAGCTCGACCCCCGGTCCATGCCGGGAGTGAAAACAAAACACGGGCCACAGGACGAAGAGGAGGGACTCGAGGAGCAGGGGAATGCGTGCGCGCAGTCTGACACGAGCAAGCCAGTTTGCGCGCTCTCGTGCGTGCGCGGGCCGATTTGGGCAGACGGCACTCGCACAAGATCCCACGCGAGCGCGAGCGACGGAGAGAGAGGGGCAAATCCGTGGACAGGTTGGCATCCCCTAGAGACAACGTGGGACGAAGCGACGCAGCGAATGATACTGCCAGCAGTGCCACAAAGGGCCGAATATTGCGGATGACGATGAGGTGCACAGGTGCTTACTCAGAGTCACGAAATTGCCCTCGAAGTACGTTGCAAGAACCCGATAATTCATCACAGTGTCGGATGTGCACGGACGGGTGTGACCTGTATTCAACTATGCACGCGGGACGATGCGTATTCAAAACGAGGAACCAACACAACAGGATGGATTGGAATACACACACAGACGTTGGGAGGCAAAACCTGGGTCATGTTCGGCCGCCCCACGATCACCTTACACGCACGAGGGTGGACCAGGGGGAGTATCATCGAGGCAAAATGCTGGGATCGCGCGGGCGACAGGCGATCACCTTGCAATCTTCTTCGCCAGGGACGTTGGCCCCCTGGCCCGCACCTCGGGGGCGTCGCACACCTGGCTGGCGCCCGCACTGGTGCCCGAGGGTTGCCGATGGCGGCCCCTGCACCTGCGGAGACTCGGGCGCTGCCTCTGTGGCGGAAGGGCGGAGGGGAGTCAGCGAGACGACCGTCCTCCACGGGGAGGGGGTAGAAGTGGCTGCACCGGGCCACTCCGCCGCGCTGGGCACGGACGGGAGCCCAACATGGCCGGACACTGCCCCGGGGTGAGGAAAGAGAAGCCATGCGGACTTCCAAGATGTCCCGGTGTGGCGCAAGATAGCTGAATAGGGCTCCCAAGCCATTTCTCGAGACGGCTCCAAGTGGCCACGGATCCACCCCAAGGACGCCCACAAGAGGCCCTCTGGCCGTTTCGCTTTCGATGGGTCTCCGGGCCTCCGCATGGCTCCGCTGCAGCCCACGAGAGCCCGAAGGGGGGCCCCGGGGAGGTCCAGGACGGCCCGAAGAGCGCCCACGAGCGCCCCACGGGCGCCTCCGCGAACGATCTTTCGGCCTCCAGGTGGGCCGAGCCGTCAGGGCACCCCCTTCGCTCAGAGCCACAAGACTTGTACTGGACCAGTGGCTCGTGCACCGCCCTGGCACATCGAGGACATCCCTGGGGGGGGCGGGCTTTGAGCACAGCTTGGTTCCAACATGGCTCCAAAACAATCCGTATGCGCTGCACTACGGCGCTAGATGGCCCAGAACTAGGGAAACGAGCTCTATGCACTGACGCTTTGTCCGACCCTGCGCTGAAATTCGTACAGGAGCGCGGATCCTGGTGTATACGGGATTCTGGTGTATACATGTTTCGTTGTCTCCATTGGAAAACGGGGGAAACGTATACACCACACCACCCCGACGTCGTCCCCGACCCAACAAAAAATCCTGGGATTGAAAACAGCCCGCAACTGGTGACGTATATGCTCCAGTTTCCGATCACCCGCCCCAAGACGGCTCCCCCCGATGTCCCCAAGAAGCTCCACACCCGCCCCAAGACGGCTCCCCCCGTGCCGACGGTGTCCCCGATGCTGCAGCCTCCCCAAGAGGCCCGCACCCGCCCAGCACACACACACAAACAAAAAAATCCGTCTGCGCGATTTCTGGAGATGCGCGAGGCGTGAATCACTTCGAAGGGTTCACTGGCCATCGCTCGGACGTCCCTTCCCTGTGCTTGTTTCGGTTTCGCGCGTGTTTTTTTTTTTCGCAGGATGATCCAGGACGCTCCTTAACCCCCGCCGAGGAAGAGTGCACACGTCCCAGCGATACCAAGTTCAGGGTTTGAGCGCCCTGGGGCTCTCCCCCCCTGGAGCCCAAGAGGCCGAAAACGCACGCGAGCGGCATCCTGGAGCGCAACTCCCGCCGCAAGCCTTCGCAAAAAACGCGCTTCGCGGGGCCGGAAACGGGAAGCGATATCCTCCTCGACCCCGCAGTGTCCCCGATGATCCCCTCATCCTTGTCCCGCCTCCTGCCTCCCTCCTTACTCATCCCACCCCATCCCCCATCCGCATCCCTTCTGATCATCCTCCTCTGCCTCCGCCTCAGTCCTCCTGCTTCGTCCTCGCCAGTCCCCCCTCCTCCTGCAAGTTCTACTCTGCATCGTCCTCCTCATCCGCCTCTCCTCTTCCCCCTCCCCTTCCTCAGTCCCTATTATTCTTCTCCATCCTCCTCCTCCAACTCCTCCTGCTCCTCCTCCCCCTCCTCCTCCTTTTTCCCTCCTCCTCCCCCTGCTCGTCCCCACCTCCCCCTCCTCCTCCCCCTCCTCCTCCCCCTCCCCCTCACCCCCTCCTGCTCCTGCTGTTCCCCCTCCCCCTCCTCCTCCCTTCCCCCCTCCTCCTCTCCCTCCCCTTCGCCCCCTCCCTCCCTTACCATCGCCCTCCTCCCTCCTCGCCCCTCGCCCTCCCTCCCCTCTCCTCGCCCTCCCCCTCGCCCTCCCCCCTCCCTCCCCCTCCTCTCTCTCTCCCTTCCTCACCCTCCCACCTTCTCCATCCCCCCCGCTCTCCCCCCTCCGATCTGGTCCTTCTTCTTGCGGCTCCGGCTGCGCTTGCGGCCCGAGTCCGAGCCCGAGTCGGACGCCTTCCTCGCCGGCGTCCTCTCCTTGGCGGCCTCGCGCTCCTGGGACCGCTCGGCGCGGCCCGCCGGAGGGAGGGGGGAGGGGGGGAGGGAGGGAGGAGGGGAGGGGAGGGGAGGGGGGAGGGGAGGGGAGGGGAGGGGAGGGGAGGGGAGGGGAGGGGAGGCGGGGAGGGGAGAGTCAGGGCGCCCGCCCCGCCGGCGCGCAGCGCGCGGCCCCCACGTGCGCGGCCTCCGGGAGGCGGCGCGAGGGGGCCCGCCCCAGGGCGCGCCCGCCGCCGCGATCGCACCAGCTCGTCTTCGGCGGCGGGGGGGGGGGCCCCCGGGGGGGACCCGCACCACGAGGTCACTCCGGCGAGGGGTCCCTCGCACCACAGAGGAGCAGCAGGCAGCACAAGCAAATAGACCTTCGGAGGTCCGCGCGGAGTTCTCGGATCGACGCTGATCCCCCTGGCGCGCGGAGCGCGTCAGGGGCGGCGCCGGAGGCGCCGCCAGCAGCGGCCAGCGCTGGTCCAAGATTCACGATGTTCGCAGCCGACCGCCCCCCTCGCCTTTACGCTGGACATGCATGACAGACATACTCATTTGAAGCTGCTGCAGTCCTCTACAACTGGGACGGACGCAAAAACAGACCCCAAGAGGTCCCACGAGGGCGAGTGCGAGAGGAAAAACACGTCGCCCGCCCTCCTCCTCCTCCTCCTCCTCCTCCTCCTCCTCCTCCTCCTCCTCCTCGCCGGGAGCTCCTCGGGCCCCTCCCGACGCCACCCGCCACGGCGGGGCGCGGCTCACGGAATACGGGACCCAGCATGTAGGGAGCCCGCAAAAGACGTGCGCGCCCAACCGCGTACGTGGATACGGCCCCCCAGTCCGCGAGACCTGTCTCGCAACACGCGCGCTCGCATATTGCTAGAAGAAGAGAGCACGCTATGTACAAAAACTTGTGCCGCTCCGCACGGGTATCTTGGATCCGCGCTGGACCCCCCTCCCTGACGCGCGGAGCGCGCCAGGGGCGGCGCCAGAGGCGCCACCACGGGGGCCCCGGCGCGGATCCGAGAAGTCCGCGCGGAGCTCCTAAAGACTATGCTTATGGCGTTTTCTCTTCTTCGGGCTGCGCTTTGGTGAGGCCAGCATCCATGCATGTACGTGCGCGTCCTTCTGCCGCTCCTGAGCATGCTGGGGAGACCAAAAGATACCAAGACAGTTACCCCCCGGCCTCGCCCGGCGGCGAATCCAGCGGTGGCGACGAGGGCCTCCCAGGAGGCCCTAAAAGGGGAAAACGGGCGACGGGGTAGGGGTATGGGAACCTTTTCCTTCTTTGAGTACGTGCGTGCACGTCTTACTGTACCAGATTTGGAAATGTGTTGCAGTGGATTACTGCGGGGATTTGTGCGTGGAATTTTGCCGGAAGCGGCAAGCGAAAAACGAAGTTAGTTTCGCGTGGATTAGTTTTGGTCTTCATTCCTGGCCCCCAAAAAAATCCGCACGGAATCGATTTCGGAATCCGAGCGAAATTCTTCAGGACACCCCGGGCCCACACTATCGTTTCCGAACAAGACCCGCTAGGCGATGTTGGCGCCATGACACGTTCTTCCGCCGCTCTTAATAAGCGCCGGGGGACTCCGAGTTTCCCAATCAGCGTCGAGGGGGCGTCACCCCCGCCGACAGCCCCACATCGACCCCCGTCGCGGGCAGCCACCGCGCGCCGAAGGCGCTCCGACCCCCGTCGCGGCGCGACGACGAGGCGAGGTTGATTCCCGTCGGGCCCCCCCCCCAACGATTATGAAGAAAGCCAGAGTACCCTTTCCTTGTTGTTGAATACTTGCATGCAGGTCCTTCCGCCGCTCCCGAGCACAAGGAACCGAACCCTATACACCGACGCTGTTCTCGGCCCCGTACTGAAACTCGCACGGGAAAGCGGATCCTGGTGTATACGGGACCCTGCTGTATACACGCGTCCCTGCTTCCCCGGGAAAGCGGGGAAAAAGTATGCACCTCACCACCCCGACGTCCTCCCCGACCCTCGAAACAGTTTTGGGACTCAGTCACAGCCCACCACTGGCAATGTGTACGTTCCAGCTTCCGAGAGCAGGCTGCGCCCTGCGGGGGCCCGCGCAGGGCCGGCTTCGGCTTCCGGGTGGCCCTCCCGAGGCTCTGCCAGCCGCCTCTCGGCACGACCGCGCACGGCTCCTACAAGCGGATTTAGGAAGGGAAATCAATAACATATGCAAAACACAACTCAAACATAATCGAAAACATAACAGACAAATCGTCCCCATACTATGTTTTGACTATTCTCGAATACTCCTCCTGTAGAGGGACATGCCCGACTTAACCTTCAGAGGACCCGTCCGTCCCCGTCCACTGAAGCGAGTGTATCCGCTCCTTGGCCATCAAGTACATTCCCCAAGCGAGCTTCTCCGCCTCCTCCGGGCTGGCAGCCGTGTCGGCCTTCTTGCTGTCGGACTCGGTCTTGCTCTTGACTGCCTCGGCTGGAGAAACAACCTTGAAACTCGAATGGACAGTGACTCTTCTCGCAAATACTTGGCATTATGTATGCAATGTTGCATTACACGTAATGAGGCTTGGCGTATCTGAAACATGTTCTCACACTCTTTGGTTGTGAATGCATATCCAACGACATTCAGTGAACCGCGAATCTGCTCCGCCCCATGCGTCGGAGGGGGCGCTGACCAAGGGGGTCCTCACGTCCCTCATGCCCATAATCACTATACACCTGATGCCGAATTATGTCTGTCATCATTCACACCACCCCGACAAGACTTGCATCCTCCTCAGGTCTCTCCTCATCGACCGTCCTCCATCTTTCCTCCGTTGCTCCCTCCATCCTTGATCCCTCGCATCCTTCCTCCTCGCACTCCTCCTCACACTCCATCTCACACTCCTCCTCTTCCTCCTCATCCTCCTCCTGCTCCTTCCTCCCTTCACCCTGCCCTCCTGCGTTATTTGTCTCCACCCTCTCTGCCACCTGCTCCATCCTCTCCTCTGTCCCCCTGCCTCCACCCTGGACAGTCCCCTATCTACTCAGTCATCCATTTTCCCCCCATCCTGCAGGCCCCATCCCCCGCATCCCTCCTCTGCCCACGCTCCCCCACTTTTTTCCTCCTCCCCCCGCATCCTCTTGATCCTCATCCTTCTCCCACCACCTCCTCCTCCCCCTCTAGTCCTTCTTCTTCCGGCTCCGGCTGTTCTTGCGGCCCGTGTCCGAGCCCGAGTCGGACTCCTTTTTCTTCGCAGGGGCCTTCTCCTTCGCAGCCTCGCGCTCCTGGAGGGGGGAACGATACTGGGAAGGTGTCGGTCGGCGGCGACGACAACGGCTACAACAACGATTGAGAGAAAATGAGCCACGTGGACATAAAGTCTCGGAATCCAGGGCACTCCCCAGGACGGCCTTCATTTTTGTCCCTGGCACTCCCGGCATTTTTGTCTGTCGGCCCCGGGACCGAGTACGAGCTGCAAAAACTCCGACACTAGCCAAGAGACCCGCGACCCACTTCACTCAGGACACACTCTCTTCATGGTTTCATGGCGACCCTCACACATCTACCCTCCACTGGTGCGCCTTGAGCACGATTCGAGGGGAAGCTGGCCGTGACGACAAGAAGCCCAATGGAGGCTAACAGAAACGTCAAGCTTCGCCAGGCGGTCGACCCAACCCTTACCAGCTTCAGGTGGCGAAAGCCACGACTTCCCTGGGGGCCACGATCTGCGTGAGAAGTGTGCCGAGAAATGCAACGTAAGCATCCACTGGGGTTGTACGTGAAGCTCCTGACGGACCACGATCCTCGTAGAGGGTGAGACAAACTGAGCGCGGGGCACCCATGTGAGCTCCTCATTGGGGACACGGGGGGTAGAACTCCCTGTGGAGCACGGTCCTGGTCAGGGGTAAGCCGAATTGGGCATGGGAACGCCATGCGAGCTCCCCCCCCTCGGGGACATAGGTGGAGCTTTCCTGTGGAGCACGATCCTCGTGAGTGGTGCGCCGAAAGGGGCGCGGGGACGCCCTGCGAGTTCCTCCACTGGGGCCACGGGTGGTGCTCCCAATGGGGGCACGGTCCTGATCAGGTGCGCCAGGATTGGCGGGCGGAGACCAGAGGCAAGAAGAGAAGGTCGGGGAGGTGGTGAAGGAGCCTCCGGCGCGGCGCCGCGGATCCAAAACGAGGACCCGACACGCAGCAGAGTGGGGAGCAGGCCGCCCACTGAAAACCCGCGCGACGGCTGCGGCCGCGGCCGTGTGGCCTTCTTGCCGCCGGCGCCCTCGGCGTCGCGCCCACGCCGCCGCGCCGTCGGCGCCGACATGGCAGCGTCCAGCGCGTTCATGGCGGCCGCGGCGGCGGCGCCGCGGTCGCGGCCCTCGCCTGGCGAGCTGCTGCCAGCACGGCGCGGGGGCTCCGCCGGCGCCGAGCGGGCGGGCGGCTTCGAGGCCGCCTCGGGGGCGCGGTCGCCGCAGCGGGCACGTGCGTCGCCGCCGTTCCCGCCGTAGCGTGGTGGTCCCAACGGTGGCCCCCGTCGTCGACGCCGTCGTGGTAGTCGACGTCGTGGTCGTCGTTGTGGGCGTCGTTGTCGTCGTCCTGGGCGCCACCTCGACGTCGGCGTCGTGGTCACCGGCGTCGTCGTGGTCGTGGTCATGGTCGTGGTCATGGTCGTGATCGTGGTCGTCGTCGGCGGCATGGCTGCCGTCGACGAGGCAATGGTCGTAGGCGTGGACGTGGCCGCCGTGATCGTTACCTCCAGCATCGCCATCATCGTCATCGCGACGCCACCGCCGTCAACGTCGGAATCGTGATCGTCGTCATCGTAGTCGTCATCGTCGTCGTGGGGCCTCCCGGAATACTGACGACGACAACCACGACGACGACGGCAGGAACGAGGACGACGACGACGACGACGTCGACGACGACGTCGACGAAGACGACGACCGCCACGACACCCACCACCACGCCCGAGACCACACCCGCGGCGACCGCGACCACGCCGATGCCCACGACGACCGAGACAACGGCCCGGCGAGCGCCACGACCACGACCACGACGGCAACGACGGCGGCGACGGCGACGGCGGGCGGCGTCGTCGTCGTCGTCGGCAGCGGCGGCGGTCGAGGCCTTGCCCTTGGCGGCGAGAGCCTTGGGCGGCGCGGGCGTCTCGGGCTCGGGCGCCGGGGCGCCGCCCTCGGGGCTGCCGTCCCTCCTGGGGAGACGGACGGCCGTCGTCGGCGTCGTCGGCGTCGTCGGCGTCGGCGGCGTCGGCGGCGTCGTTGGCGTCGTCAGCGGTGGCGGCGTTGGCGCCGTCGGAGAGGATGAGGGGGGGGAGCGGAAAGGGGGGGGGGATGGTGGAGTGGGGGATGAGGGGGAGAGGGATGAGCGGGGACAGGAGGGCGAAACGGAGGAGAGAGGAGGGAGGAAGGTAAAGGATGAGGCCCGAGGGAAAGAACATGAAGAGATGGGGCCGGGCCGGGCTGGAGGATGGATGAGGATAGGGAATGGAAGAGAAAGTGGCGGGAGAGAAGACATGGGACAGGGAAGAGGAGAACATGGCAGGATGGGGAAGGGGGGAGAGAGATGCGGGAGGAGGAGGAGATGTCGGATGGGTGAGAGAAGATCTCTTTCCTTCCTCCTTCATCCTGCCTTCCCACCCGTCCGCCGCCCCAATTCACTTCCTCGTAACACCGTCTATCGCCTCCTATGTCTCGACCTCCTCATGCTGCTGCTGCTGCCTACTGTCCTCCCTACCTGCTTCGCCCTTCTCCTCCCCCCAAGCTAAGATAGTACGGTCGGACCGACGACAGAATATCATCCTTAGAGAACACATGAGATCCACCGCAGGACAACCTGAAGAACATTCGAGGGTGCCTTCCCCGAGGATGCAAAGGAACATCCAGCAGCCACGAAGAACTGTAGGGTACCCTCCCCGAACTGACCTCGATCAAATGCCTCGGTCCGACCATGGACGGTCGCATGTTTGTCTGATCCCCAGGAGCCCCTGGCAGTGCGCCCTGCTCAGGTCAATCTCCAGCACCTTGGACGATGGGACCTTGCTGGCCGACGGGAAAGCCATCGGAGGGAATCCAAGATGGACGGGCAATGGGGAGGGAGAGGGGGGGTGCCAATTTGGGAGCAAAGGCAAAGCGAGAGGGAGAACGACGGGGAGGGCAATGACGAGGATGCCATGCAGAAGAAACGGAAGGAGAAGGATGGAAGATGGCCAAACAACTGAAGAAGAAGAGGCAGGAGGAGTAGGAGGACGAGGACGAGGAGGAGGAGGAGGAGGACGAGAAGAAGGAGGAGGAGGAGGACGAGAAGGGTGAGGAATTTCATGATGAGCGCACGGAGGACGCGCAGGCAGGCGCGAAGGGCGACGGCGATGACTAGCGACGAGGAAGAGGATAGCGAGGAAGAGACCTCCCTCCCTCCTCCTCCTCCTCCTCCCTCCCTCCCTCCTCCTCCTCCTCCTCCTCCTCCTCCTCCTCCTCCTCCTCCTCCTCCTCCATCTCCTCCTCCTCCTCCTCCTCCTCATCCTCCTCCTCCCTCCGCCTCCTCAGGGAAGGATGCGGGATGGAAGAGGAAGGCTGTGGCGGTGACGGAGGCAAGGCGGAGAAGAGTAGGACGCTGAATGACGACCTTCTTCTTGCAATTCAAGTCGTAAGACCCGTCGGCGTTCGCCTTGACAACCCGGGCCACGATCCACTTGCTGACGCTGGCGCTCCAGTAGTGTACCTTACCCCGAGATCCCTCGGCCACTCTTACAGGGGGAGGGGCCAGGTTCGAGGATGTTGCGTTTCCTCTCGTGCTGTTGAACTCTCTGGGGGGCCCTGAGAGCCCTTCGGGAGCCTCGGATGGAGGAAGAGACGGGCGTTTGAAGGAGGGGTGTGGGATCTGGATGCTCTACGTGTTCCAGGGGTCGTCGAACATCGTCACGGGCAAGGCGGGGAGCGCAAGGCAGGGTACACAGGCCCCTCGCAAGAAAAGTGCCATGCAACCCGAATCAGAAGGACAAAGAACAGCGACACCACCACCACCACCAAGGACCACCAGTGGGAGGAGCCGGGGAGGGAGGACCCATGGTGGTGTGGTACCCCCCTTCTCGTTCGAGACATCCCCTATCCCCAGTTCGGTGCCTCCCGTGGTGGTGGTGTGGCTTCTCTTTCCCCCGAAATCAGGAACCCTTCGCTCGTCTGCGCAATGTGTCCTAACTCCAGAGGGTCTGTCTGATCCATCTTGGTGGTGAGCGAGGGGGGGAAATGAGAAGGAGAAGGCCTTCTCAGAAGGTGGCGGGATTTCTCAGAAGCCCTCGCACCTTCTGAGGAGCGTTATGTGTCTGCGGGGAGGGTTGTGAAACCTTCCCAGAAGGCCGGGGTATTTGCTTCCGAGCCTTCTGAGAAGGCCCGCCATTCCTCGCTTCCCCCCCGTCGCTACCGTGTCCGAGATCATCGCTGCTGGGCCTCCCCGTCTCCGCAGGCGCTCCGGGGCTCTCTGAACCCTCCCGCGGGTGCGCCGAGGGCGGGGGCCAGGAACGGGGGGGAGGGCCGAGGCACCGTGGCCCGAGGCACGTGCGCGGACGTCGGGGGAGCCGGGGAGCGCAGAGAGAGGGGAGAGGAGGGGGCCATGCTCTCTGGGATGTGCTGTGGCCCCGGCCACGGTGTCAGGGTGTTGCAGTGAGGACGACTAGCAAGAACTCCTGAGACTCAGGCACACACTGGTATACTTATGGTTGTTTGTGTATGTGTGTGTGTGCGCACTCCTCAGGACTCGGCTGTGCCACTGTGACGTCCTCAGAGTCAGAGTCGGCACCGCAGTGACCGTCAGGACCAGTCTAATCGGAGAACACACACCGATCAGAGGAGGGACGCTTTGTACGAACAAGGCTCTCCCGCCCAACACAGATACCCACTATACATGTATACGTCCCCACACCCCTCCAAGGGCCCAAAGCGGATCCAGCTGTGTCGACAAGAAGCCTCCAGAGAGAGAGACACTGTAACGTCTGTTACGGTGTGGGGGGGTCGGGCTCCCATGGGCGGGGGTAACGTGGTCGGGACCCGCGGGGGTGCGCCTGGGCGACGGGCGACGGACGATGAGGATGAGATTGAGCACAAGGAATAGGACGACGACGAGGACGAGGATGAGGACGACGATAACGACGACCGCCTCGGGAAGCCTCTGGAGGCCCTCCGAGGCTCTCCAACGACGACGATAACGACGATAATGACGACGACGACGACGACGACTACGACGACGGCCGCCTCTGAAGGTCCCCAGAGGTCTCTGGAGGTCTGAGGAGATCTCCAGGGGCCACTGGGGGCGTCGGGAGGTCCTCAGAGGCCCTCGGAGACGATGACGACCACCACGACGACGGCAATGGCGACGGCGACGGCGACGGCGACGATGGCGATGTCCACGACGAGGACGACGACGACGACAGAGGACGACGACGACGACGACGACGACGACGACGACGACGACGACGACAACGATGACGACGACGACGACGAGGACGACGACGAAGGCCGCATCTGAAAGATCTCCAGGTCCCCGAAGTCCTCTGGAGGCGTCTGGGAGCCCTCCGATGCCCGTCGGCACCACACCACGCCTGTGAGCACAGCGCCATCCGCCCGCCCCCGTACGTTCGTTATCGTTACGGGAGGGGGGGGAACCCCACGTAACTGAGCACTGCTGAACCAGCCCCCCCCTATCCCTGTGAACGTGGCCTGGGCCCCACTGGCCGATTAACCCCCCTAGATGGGGATCTAGGCCGTTTCCTTCGGGCCCCGAGGGGCACATCCCCACCTGTGGGGATGAGATGCTGGGGGTCTGGATGGGGATGGGGAATGTGGCGGCGCGCACAAGGGAGCAATGGGGGAGAAGGAGAAGCTTCTTTGAAGGAGCCTGCCTCCAAGAAGGCGCCGGCCTTACATCCGGGGCCCCCGAGGGCGAAGCGGAACGGTGCTGGGCGGGGTGCACCGGCGGGCCCCCATCGGCGACGACTGCGCGAGTAGTGATCCAATCCCCCCCCTGAACTTGGGTCGGGCAGGTCCTCCTACAGGCAAATCTCGAATCTCAGGCGAAAAATACAATAGAGCCCAGAAAGATGCAAACATAGGCAGAAACAATAGAAAAATCGTCCGGAGTCTATTTTTTTAAACTGCGGCTCCACCATAAAAGTGACGTCGAGCAGACCTCGTCAAGATTTGGACCACCCCTCTTCACCCTGTGGTCTAGATCTCGTCCACATTTCCTCAACATGTCGTCCAAACATCGGCCAAATCTGGACGACACTCCCCAAACCGCAGGGAATCTGGGCACTCCCTGGGGCACCCATGAACTTGGACGCCCGAAATGGGTACCGAAATGAGAAGTACAATGCCCAATAAAAAGTACTGTCCAACACCGGCAGAGACCGCTGTTGGGCAGGCGGCCTTCTTCCTCAAATGGGCAACGTCCGCGGCGACACCAACAGCGAATCCTGCTGTTCGAATGAACAGGACATGCTTTCGGTCTGTGTTGCTATTCTCTCCGAACACATTTCGATCGTGCCGAATGTAGGACCGCACAGTGGTCCCTACAGTCAACCCGTATACTGAGGACGCACGACGAGATCGCAAGGGCCTTGGGAGGCAGTGCCGACACGTTGCGAGCGGGGCGCGGCCAGCGGAAGCGGCCAAGCATGGGCCGAAGGGGAAGGATGCAAGGGCAAGGATGGGCCGAAGGGGAAGGATGGGCCGAAGGGGCAGGAAGGTGCTCATCCTTAGTATGTGGGTTGACTGTGAAGGACCAGCCCCGCCCCGCCGCGCGCCTTGTCGCCCGCGGAGAAGGGGCCGGTGGCCGCGCGGTCGCCGCCGGACGCCATCGCCGAGGGCCGGGGACTCTCGCGGCGCCCCGTCGCTGCGGCCGAGGAGGAGGGAGGCCGCCGCAGGTCCAGGAGCAGGCGTTACGCGACGCGGCCAAAGGGGCCGAGAGTGGGGGCTTCAAGGGGTTCTGGCAGGTCCCCCTGCTCTTCTCTCGTCCTCCTCCTCCTCCTCCTCCTCCTGCTCCTCCTCCTCCTCCTCCTCCTCCTCCTCGTCCTCGTCTTCCTCCATCTTCCTCCTCCTTATCCTCCACCTCCTTCTCCTCCTCCACGTCCGCCTCCTCCTCCTCCCCTCCTCTCCTCTGCTACCTCTGCATCCCTCCCCCCTTCTCCCTCCTCTGCCCACGTGCCGACGAAGAAAGATGGGGAAGGGAGAGCACAAAGAGGAAGGAGGGAAGACAAAAACGCATGATCCGCTGAACCTTGCTTGCCAGTTATGCAAAGGCGTGTGAGAGGATTGGCTGTCCCCCTCCCCGTTTCTCCCTTCCCGATTGCCTGAAATCCGATTACAGGGAGGGTGTCTCGAGGGGGAGCGCTGGGGGAGAGGGGGAGGGTTAGGTCGGGCCTACAGGCGGACTCGATTTTGGGCATTTTTTTTGTTTTACAGAGCCAAACAATATTCCAGAATGGTCCAACATAATACTAGAAAAATCGTCCCAAGACTATTTGTTATACTATGTTTGAAGATTCCTCCTATAGAGGGTCAGGCCCGACGCAAGGGGAGGGGCCCGGGCGCTTCAACGCTCCCCCGGGGCCTCCGGAACTCCGTGGCCCCCAGGATGCCCAAGACCCAATCGAACTAGACTAGCCCAAACTGGGATCCAACACGCCAGGGAAGCCTGAGCAGCCACCAAAGTAACCTCAGCAAGGCCCAAGGATACTGTTGCTATCTGTCCTCTGCTCCTTGATAAGCACAGCAAGCCTATCGAGCGAAGCTCGGTGCGGTGTGACTGGGTACTGCCGAGAGTCCGGCTGGATGACGACAAGAGCATACAGCTGGCACCTACCTCAAAGGTCCCAGATCATGCCCGAATGCGTATCGTACATAGTAAATTTCCCCACTCATCATCTCGTCCCCCGTCTCCGTCGCCGCCTCCTCCATCAGATCCGCATCAGTATCGTCCAAACTCTTCTTTCTCCTCCTCCTCCCCCAGCGGCGACGTTCGCGTGTGGTCCGCCCGTTTCGGAACACCCCTCACACGTCTCGTGCCCGATAAAAACGGGCTCTACCTCAGACCCCAGTGCGCGCCCGAATGACAGCCCCGCTCCATTTCGGCGCACCCCCTTCACACTCTCCATGGCCCCATAAGGAGAGTCATCGAAGTAGCGACGGCACTCACAATTGCAGATGGTTCGGTCCTTCGCCACGATACTTTCCCCACACGCTTTAGATTATCATCCCCCTTTCCCCCCCACCTCCACCTCCTGTTCCTTTTCCTCCTTCTGATCCTTCTGCTCCTATTCCAACACCGCTGATGAATTCCCTGCACCATCCTCATTTTATTCATGTTCCACCTCCTCACCCATCCTGACCTGATGCCCCTGCTCATCATTACCACTCACTGTTCGATGCCACCACATGCGTACCCAGGAGGCAGCATGGGGCAAGTGGCGACGAGAGTGGGGGGGAATACAGACGCAGAAATATGAGGAGAAGGCAAATGGGGACGCGGAATAGGCGAAGGGGGGAGTCGCATGAATATAAGGACCGATGATACAGAGGTAGAAGACGAATGAGATACGAACGACCGCAGATCAGATGACCCCGCCGAAAGAACAACGGAACACTCTGCACAAGTTCTATGATGGTGACCAGCGAGGAGATGGAGGGGAGATGTGGATCAGGCGGAGGCGGGGAAGGGGCAGGATGGGACAGAGGGGGGATGGAAGGTAAAGGGCGAAACTTTCTCCTCCTCAGGCCTCCTAAGCCTCCGTCCTCCTTCCCCTGATCCACCCTCCTCCTACTTCTGCTCCCTCGTGGAAGCGAGATAGGAGGCAGGGGTGCGGGCGAATTGGAAGAGAAAGTGGGGGATGGGGGAGGGTATGGAGGACTGGGTGGGAAGAATACCTCAATCCTTTCACTATGCGCATCTACTCCTCCTCATTTTCCCTCCTCCACCCTCCTACAACTCCGTGCCCTCCTCCCTCCTACGCCACCCAACCTCTTGGAGCCACCCACAAGACGCAGTGTCCCCCTTCGAAGCTCGTAAACCCAATCCGAAACTCATGGGCCCCCATCCTGTCCCTCGTACTCCTCCCCCCCGCCTCGTCCCCCCCCTCGCCCGTCGCCCTCCTCCTCCTCCTCATCCTCCTCCTCCTCCACCTCCTCCTCCTCCTCCTCCTCCTGCCCCTCGCCCGTCGCCCTCCTCCACCTCCTTTTCCTCCTCCTTCTCCTTCTCCTCCCCCCTCCTCCTTCTCCACCTCATCGCCATCCTCCCCCTCCTCCTCCTCCCACCTCCTCTCCATTTTCCCTCCTCTCCTCCTCCTCCCTTTCTCCCCTCCTCTTCGCTCCTCCCCTCATCCTCTCCTCCTTCCTGTCGCAGAGTCCCTCCTCCTCTCTCTCCACCTCATCGCCATGCCTCCGGCTCCTACCTCTGCTCATCTCCACCCCTCCTCCCATGTCCTCCTCCCTCCCTCTTCTCCTCCACCTCCTCCTCCTCCCTCTTCTCCCCTCCTCCTCCGTCCTCCCCTCTCTCCTCCAAATCCTCCTCCTCTCTCCCCTCCTCCTCCCCCTGGCTCCTCCTCCATCCTCCCTCCTCTTCCCTCCTCACACCTCCATCCTCCTCCTCCCTCTTCCTCCACCCTCCTCCTCCACCTCCTCCTTCCTCCCTCCCTCCTCCTCCTCTCCTCCCCCTCCTCCCCTTTCCCTCCTCCTCTCCTCCTCCTCCTCCTTCCCTCCTCCTCTTGCTCCTCCTCCTGCTCCTTCTCTTCCCTCCTCCTATCCCTCCTCCTGTCCCCCTCCTCCTTCTCTTTTCCCTCCTCCTCCTCCTCCCCCTCCCCCTCCTCCTCCTTCTTCCCCTCCTTCTCCTCCTCCTCCTCTTCTTCCTCCTCCTCCTCCTCCTCCTCCCTCTCCTCATCCTCCTCCCTCCTCCCTCCCCGGGGCCTTCGCACACGCAGCCCCTGGAAGCAGCCCCCTTGCTGGCATTGACAGGCCCCCCCCCTCAGTGGCAGCAGCTTGGGGCGGACGGGGCGCCCGCAGGAAGGCTGGCCGCCCCCGGGAAGCCTTGCAACGCCCACGTGCTTTCCCAGGCGCAAAACGAAGGAACCCTACGGATTTCCTAAGGGGCCCGATGGATTTCGTTAAGGAAACGGATCGATCCTATGGATGTCCCAAGGGGTCCTATGGAATTCCTAAGGAATCCTCTGGACGTCCTAAGGACTCCTATGAATTTCTCCCAGGCGCGAGACGAAGCCAGGACAAGTCGGGTGTTGCTAGAATTTAGGGGAACGAATACTGACATAGACAAATGATGGGCCTGTTTCCCGCCACCACCACCATAAGTTGAAGGGGGAAAGGAGGTGGAGGAGGAGGACGACGAAGAGGAGGAAGAGGAGAGGAGGATGGGAGAGGAGGAGGGGAGGAGGAAGGAGAGGGGGGGGAGGAGGAGGAGGAGGAGGAGGAGGAGGAGGACCCTCTCCACTACAACTTGTGGTGGTGGTGGTGGTGGAAACCAAGCCATCAATAAAAACTCGGAGGTCCGCGCGGATGTCTCGGATCGGCACTTGGGCCCCCTGGCGGCGCCTCCGGCGCCGCACCTGGCGCGCTCCGCGCGCCAGGGAGGGGGGTGCAGCGCCGATCCGAGAAACCCGCGCGGACCTCCGAATTTGTGAATTCTGTTTCTGTCGTGCTTCGTTCCCCTGGGCGAGGCCCGGACGAATCGGGTGTTGCTAGAGGTGCCCCTGGCCCAAGGTGCCCCCGGCATCTCGCTCCATGTGGGGAGCCCCTGGCGCCCTCGGGGCCTCGCGATGCGGTGTTCCCGAGGCTGGGGGGGCCCCCTGGAACTCCCGGGGGGCACCCCGGACCAGGGGCACTTCTGACAGCACCCGAGCGAGGAGAACATCATGAACATCGCGCGAGGATGGATCGAGACTTCCGGAGACCCGGTGGCTCTGGAGGACGTAGCGGGCGTCGCGGCGTTCCCAGGGCGCTGCGCGACGCTCCGAGAGCGCTCCGGAACGTCCTCGTGCTTGCCCCGTCCGACAGGCGGCCTGCTGAGGGTTGCCTGGGCCTGCCTCCGCGGGCTTCCTGCGCGCAGCCCGGACCCTCGCCCTCTGGCGCCGACGAGAGGATCCCCCACCACCCCGGACCTGTCCAGGGGCTCGCGCGATCCTATATCGGGCCTGTCCCCCTACAGGGGGATTTTGGACGAAAAATACGTAGCACCCCGCAATTGCGGATAACACTGAGGGGGCGGACGCGGGCGACGCGGGCACGGGAGTGGAAGGAATTCAACAACAGCCCGCCGCAGGCGCCGAACATTTATATTTATACACTGAACGCGGTTTGGGTCGCAGGTTCTCCACTTGGAACGGATGCGAAAGAAACCCGCCGCAGGCGCCGAAGTTTTGGCTTGTTAAGTCAACGTAGTTTGGGTCGCGGGTGGGTCGCGGGCTCTCCACCTCCACCTGGAAGGAATTCAAAAACAGCCCGCCGCAGGCGCCGAAAGTTTTGATTTGTACACTGAATGCGGTTTGGGTCGCGGGTGGGTCGCAGGTTTTCCACCTGGAACGAATGTAACAGAAACCAGCTGCAGGCGCCGAAAATTTTGGGTGGGTCGCGGAGTGGGTCGCGGGTGGGTCGCGGGTGGGTCGCGGGGTAAGTCGCGGGTGGGTCGCCGGGGGGGTCGCGGGGTGGGTTGCGGGCGGGTCGCGGGGTGGGTCGCGGGTGGGTCGCGGGTGGGTCGCGGGTGGGTCGCGGGGTGGGTCGCGGGTGGGTCATGGGGTGGGTCGCGGGTGGGTCGCGGGTGGGTGGCGGGGTGGGTCGCGGGTGAGTCGCGGGCGGGTCGCGGGTGGGACGACGACAACAACAAACAACAAACAACAACAGACATCAACAACAGCAACAACGACGACGACAACAACAACAACAATTACTAGCACGTGGGGACACTCCGTTTTCACCAGTGCCAGGGTTTTCATAGGAGGCGGGCAATACCCCCACTTTGTGGGGGGGCCGGTTCAAGCTCTACCAAATTTCCATACGACTCTTCGCCACCACCCACACCCAGCTTCCCGCCCTATGACGTTCGGACACTTCACTTCGTGGCATGCGGACGACCGTGGCTACTATTCAGGGCCCCGAGGCCGACGACGACGGCGTGCGCGCGCGAAGAAAAAACGAATGTGTCCCGCATGGTATTATTTGACAGGGATGATGGCCCTGGCAGGTGCGCAACCGTTGTCGCAGAAGTTCGAAAAAGTTGCTCGCAAAAGCCCGTTTGACAGAAATGTTTAAAAGTGTTGGTTTTCCTACGAATCCGCAAGAGCGCGCGGGATGAGATTTTGACATTTTTTTGTTGAAAAACCATTGGTTTTTTGATGTTTTTATGTTAAAATCGTTCCGAACACTAAGCTTTTGGAAGGATTTCGTCTTGCGCGCGCGAATGTCCACTTTACCTTATTTTTCCCAACCATCCTGTGGTGTTGGGTCCTCGTTTTGAAGAGACGGTGCCCGCGTCCTCTCCTCTCCTCCTCTCCTCCTCCCTCCTCCTGGGGGTGTCCACATGCGGTTCCCCCACCCAGGGCAGCGTTTCGTGGCCCCATAGGGAGCTCCACCGAAGGCCCCAGTGGGGGTGTCCACATGCGGTTCCCCCACCCAGGGCATCGTTTCGTGGCCCCATAGGGAGCTCCACCGAAGGCCCCAGTGGGGGTGTTCGCATGCGGTTCCCCCACCCAGGGCAGCGTTTCGTGGCCCCATAGGGAGCTCCACCGAAGGCCCCAGTGGGGGTGTTCGCATGCGGTTCCCCCACCCAGGGCAGCGTTTCGTAGCCCCATAGGGAGCTCACCGAAGGCCCCAGTGGGGGTGTTCGCATGCGGTTCCCCCACCCAGGGCAGCGTTTCGTGGCCCCATAGGGAGCTCCACCGAAGGCCCCAGTGGGGGTGTACGCATGCGGTTCCCCCACCCAGGGCAGCGTTTCGTGGCCCCATAGGGAGCTCCACCGAAGGCCCCAGTGGGGGTGTTCGCATGCGGTTCCCCCACCCAGGGCAGCGTTTCGTAGCCCCATAGGGAGCTCCACCGAAGGCCCAAGTGGGGGTGTTCGCATGCGGTTCCCCCACCCAGGGCAGCGTTTCGTGGCCCCATAGGGAGCTCCACCGAAGGCCCCAGTGGGGGTGTTCGCATGCGGTTCCCCCAC